ACAAATTTTTCGATAAAATAATACTACACACAAACCAAAATTTTTTCTTATTTTTTAATTACACATTCTCCATCAAAATACTATTCCAAAATACATTTTCATTAAAAACAAATGTGGCTCAAACATGCATACTAGTGTTAATTTACTCATTAGTTGCATGTTTTGCAATAATCGTATTTTTCAACTTATCATTAGGAGGAATAAGAGATTTTGGGATTCATTTATCGTTTTGTAATATGCAAACCTGGTTCATCGAGCTCTAAGAATTTTGCTTAAGAAAATAATTAGATAAAGAATTGTTTGTTTGGCAAAGCCTTTAAAAAGTCGTAACCTACTTTTAAGAATAAGAAACTGCTTTTGAATATGTTTAATGCTTTACACAATTAGAAGATTTTTTAATATAAAATTGATATTTTATAACGTTCTCAGAAAGCTCTGTTAAAAAAAGTACAAAAGTCTTGTCAAATTGACCTTAAGTAAGATTATCCAATCATTAATTAGTATTGTTTGCGTCAATTTCCCAAGAGGAAATTACACGAAACAAGGCCTTTTTTTTCACCTTTTAAAAAGTCAGGTTTTCACCCTTTTTTTTTTTTTTCATTTCTCAGGTTTTTATAATTTTAATTAAACAATTAATCTTTAAGTTAAATGACCCGTGTATCCCGTTAATTGTGGGTTTCAAAATAGTTAATATCTCAACTTCCATATCTATTGAAACTCTATTTTCTCTCGATCACGATTTCATCTCCCCCATTTCTCGTGCCATCTTTCCACCACGTTTAGAAAACCTCTGCGAGAAGTCTCCACCCATTCTCCAGTGCATCCAATACTGTCTGTGAGAACTCATTCGGCAGTGAAGACAAATGGCGAAGATGAAACAATGAAAAGAAGGACGAGAAGGCGGTGCAGACGTCGGTGCGCACAAAACAAGAGGAAGACAATGGACAGCCGCACCAAAATGTCAACAACAAGGCAAAAATCATACGGGTCTAGTGGCATTCAGTTAAGGAGGAAGGTAACTGCATGGGTCAATTGGCAATCGCCAATTTTATCAAACATTTCGATTTTTTTATGATTTGTGTATATGGAATCTTAGAATCAATTTTGTCATGAATTTTTTTTTCTTTGGAGTTATGTTTGGAAAATATGAGTTGAGTTGCAATTTTATGTTCAATTGTTATTCATTTTATTTGTGACATGTTTTTTGGTAATTGAGGACTAGTGTTGAAGTTTGGGGGTTTTTTATGGTGGAAGTTCAATTTTGGATGTGAATGTATGCCTGTGACCTTACACATATATTGGTGTTTTATACCCTACCTGTGACCTCATAAATTCTACACTTGAGATTTAATTGCCAAGCCAATCCGGATGTTGCACATTAAGCTTGTTGACCTGTGAATTTTTCTTAGAAACTCTATTATCATGATCAGTGATATGCCTTAATGTGAATTTGTAT